AGTGGTGCTGTGGCTCAAGTGGTAGAACGCTAGCCTTGAGCTGAAGAGCTGAGGGACAGCGCCCAGGCCCAGAGTTCAGGCCCCATGACCAGACCCCCAAAAAAAAGAGTCTCACGGACTTTGCTGCCTGGGCTGGCTTTGAGCCGCAATCCTCAGATCTCAGCCTCTTGAGTAGCTAGGATTACAGGTGTGAACCACCGGTGCCCGGCTTGCCTACAAATCTTTTACATGATTTAAACTTCTAAAGATAGATTGCTTTATACATTTTGGAAACCTCTTTGTGCTCATTATGCTTAATGGGAAAAAAATGAGTTATTTTCTACTAATGCTGATGGGTAGAATTCTACTAGCACAGAGGGACATAGTACTCAAGAGAAGGCTTGAAAGTAGCAGATCCTATATCCACCAAGAGAAATATTCTGTAGAAAGTGAGTCTTGCCTTCAGTTGGTAACAACTTATTTTGGATTTATCCCAAATAAAGTAGAAGAAATAAAGTAGAAATGAAGAATAGTTTATCTTTCATACTCCATATAGCATTAAATCACAAATAGCAATTAATTGCTTCTGTAGAAATGGATAACTTTCAAGCACATGGCTTCACTTAGGGTGGAGATAGAGCTTTCCCTGTCCAGTGAACCATCTAAGTCTTTGCTTAAAAAGTGGAGCTATAAAGTGTTGATGTAATAAGAAGCATAAGCAAGAATATAAATCAAGGCCAGGGGTGGTAACTGGCACTTGGAATTCTTGATACACAGGAGACAGATATGGGAAGGATGATAGTTTAAAGAAAGTCTGCACAAAAAGTTGGCAAGATCTCATCTCAACCAATAAAGCTGGGCACAGTGGTGTGTACACGTAAGGCATAAATAGAAGAATCCTGCTGCAGGCTGGTCTGGGAAAAAATACGAGATCTAAACTGACAAAGAACTAAAGCCAAAAGGTCTGGATATATGGGGCTGGGAATGTGGCTCAGTGGTAGAGTGCTTGCCTAGCACGCATGAAGCCCTGGGTTCAATTCCTCAGTACCACATACACAGAAAAAGCCAGAAATGGTGCTGTGACTCAAGTGGTAGGGTGCTAGCCTTGAGCAAAAGCAGCTCAGGGACAGTGCTCAGGCCCTGAGTTCAAGCCCCTAGACTGGCCAAAAAAAAAAAGTTTAAGTGTATGACTCAAATGATGAAGTGCCTGCCTAGTGATTGCTAGGCCCTGAGTGCTCACTCTCTGTCTCTGTCCCTGCCTCTCTCTGTCTCTTTCTCTCTGTCTGTCTCTCGGTCTCTGTCTCTCTCTGTCTCTGCCTTTGTCTCTTTCTCTGTCTCTGTCTTTAAAGGTCTTTGTCTCTCTCTGTCTCTGTCTTTGTCTCTTTCTCTGTCTCTGTCTCTAAAGGTCTCTCTCTCTCTCTCTCACACACACATACACAGAGTGAACCAACATATCACTAAATATGTTTTTCAGATAAGCTGACTTTATTAAATAGCAAGACTTTTTTGAGGGGAATTTTTTTTTT